TTTTTTTCCATAATTATTTTTATTTTTTCCATAATTAATATTTGGGGTTCCACCTGTTTAATATGTCATGGATCTTTAGACACATATTTTCTATAATTCAATATTCCCCCTTAAAATACATTCAAATTACGAACATCACATGATATTATGTATATCAATGGCAGGCTTAGGGGCATATACCAGATCTTTAGACCCATATTTTCTATAATTCAATATTCCCCCTTAAAATGCATTCAAATTATGAACATCACATGATATTATGTATATCAATGGCAGATTTTAGGGACATATACCAGATCTTTAGACATATATTCTCTATAATTCAATATTCCCCCTTAAAATACATTCAAATTACGAATATCACATGATATTATATATATCAATGGAAGACTTAGGGGCATATACCAGATCTTTAGACACATATTTTCTATAATTCAATATTCCCCCTTAAAATATATTCAAATTGCGAATCGATGGACATATAATTACCGACAGAATTATGGGAAAAAAATAATTATAAAAAAAATAATTATGGAAAAAAACAAAATCGTAACTTTTCTATCATAGACAGACGGCGCCTGTAAAGTAAATTGAAACGTTTTTTTTTCCTAAATCTGTCGGTTCCTGTATATATATATATATTTTTGTTTTTCAAAAATAAAATATTTAATATATATAAACATCGAAAATATTTGGGCATTAAGGTATCGAAAAAAAATATTTCATTCAGAAATAACATAAATTTTGAAATTAAATATATTATAAATTAATAGAATATGTTTGAAAAATAAAATAATAAAAATATATAAATAAATAAATATATTATATTCGGATCGCTTTTGGAAATTTACATATACAAAAAAAACAAAATAATTAGAATATATATATATTTTAAATTAAATATATCAAAAATTAATGACCTTGGACCACTTTTTTAAATTAACATATTATTAAAATATATATTATTATAATATAACATATATTTCCAAATCCAAATAATATTGGCTACCTAATAATAAAACCACCCCTTAAATTAAAAAAAAAATAAATTAGGGGAGATCAATATTCCAATACCTGGAACCGTATGGCTGGGATCATAATATATATCTGATAAATTCTCCATGATTTTATTGGATTTTTGATGGATTTTTAATTTTTTTTTCTTTGAA